CACCAAAAATAAATCGTTGGAAAAATTGAATGCTATTAAACAGAATATTGGATACCCTGACTGGATGCTCAACAATCAAGATCTTGATAAATATTATGATTTGGTAATTATATTCACTATAGTTTTTTGAGTCATATTAATAAATTATATTTTTAAACTCATTGTAGAAACAAAAAGTAGATTCAAAGAAGTCATTTGAAGGCTTCCTTTACTTACAGTTCAATTCGGCTTTTCGTGCGTTTAAATCAATCCGAGAAGAAGTGAATTTAACTCTAAGGTATAAAAATGTTTAATTACTAATTAATTTGGTTTATTAAATTGTATTATTACTGACTCGCAAACAGCTGGCCAATGCCCCCGGCTATGGTGAACGCTGCCTACGAGCCCACACAGAACTCCATCAGTAATGATTAAATATTGTGTAAATATAAGTTATACCCACAATTAATTGTATTGTTTATTATCTATACAGCAATTCCGGCCGGAATTTTAAAGACACCATTTTTTGACAGTCAAAGACCTGCTGTATTAAACTATGGCGCTATTGGATTGGTATTTATTTTGAAAGTAGTTATTAAGTATACAATAGTTTTAATTACTTGTCGTCCACAGGTTGTCGGACACGAAATGACTCACGGATTTGATGACGAGGGTATGTATTGATTTGATGGCATGACTGGGTGTCATAAAAATTATTGTATCCAAAAGGAAGTCAATTCGACTTAAAGGGAAATCTCAAGAATTGGTGGACAAAAGAAATTCATGAAAAGTTTGATGAAAAGGCCAATTGTTTTATAACTGAATACTCGGCTGAATACGTGCCTGAAGTGAAAATGCATGTGAGATAGGGTTGACATGTGTTAAGGTATGTGACTAAAAGTTTTGCTCATTTCTTACGATCAGTTGAACGGCAAGAATACCGTCGGAGAGAATATCGCAGACAATGGAGGGATGAGAGAGTCTTACCGCGCGTTTCAGGCATACGTCCAAAAACATGGTCAACCCAAACGTCTTCCACACGTCAGTCAATACACTCCGGAACAGCTGTACTTCCTTTCGCACGCAAATGCAAGAGATTATTATAAATTATATATTTTTAAATAATACTCTATTAGTCTATTAATTGACAATTATATTCATTCATATATAATAGGTTTGGTGTAGTCTTTGGAGACCCGAGGCATTGAAGACCCAAATTGAGTACAACCCTCACAGTCCCGGCAAATACAGAGTCAATGTTCCCGTCTCTAACTTTAAGGCCTTTTCCGATGCCTACAAATGCGGTCCACAAACACGAATGAACCGAAAAGACAAATGTATTTTGTGGTGAAATACAATATTTCTATAATATTCTGTAATAATATTATAATAAATTTAATATTTTTAAAACCAAAAATTTACGGTAATTATTTTTTATTGATTTTGATCAAAGTTTTCAAATATACCAAATAAGTTAAAAGAGATATTCTACATTATAAATATTATATTTGATTTAATTGAACTTTATGGAAATTATATGCATTTCTAATAGTAATTATTATTTATCACAAAAATTATATGATTAAAATGTGGGACATATTCTAAACATAAATAAACAAAAACTTATTTACAAAATAAGGATTAAAAAGAAAAGTTTCCACTTATATTAAAATAACAAATTAATTTAAAGATTATTTGCATTCAATGAATAAACATTTCAAATATCACATCCTATTTGAGGGCTTTACTGAATTAAAACAGATTTTATTGTGTTGTCATTAATTCATTTGAATTACATGTGTTATATTCTCACAATTACTGTAAACTTATTTTCAGTATGATTTGTATATCAATTTAACCATTATTT